CCTAGTCCAGACCAGCAAGTCTTTCAGCAGTTGTTAAAAAATCAATGTCAGACTTCTTGCAAGTTTGAGGCTTCAGGTCAGTTTGAAAACCTACACATACAAGATTTTTTTTTTCTTTAAAAAAAGGTCCCCCATGGAGGGAGCGCAGGCACTGTCGTCTGTAGCATTTTCAACACTATCTGACACATCCCCCTTTTGCTCACATGTTACAAGCCATGTGACATGTAAGCCTATCCCTGGATCCAGGGAGCTGGGAGCCACAATGCTGCGATTATTGTGGACCCACAAATTATATTTACATCCCATATTTACATCCATGGTAAATCCACAACCAATGTTCCTCTTACATTAGTAGTCTCCTGTAAGAGAACCACATCAAGGGAAGGTTAGGAAGAAAGTCATTAGTGGGTACAAGAACAGATGTTTATATGAAGAATGCCACGTTTTGGCAGCGGCAGATGGTCGGCCAAACAGTGTTCTCATGAAAAGAGGGTTGGGATTTGTGATTTTGACGTTTACCTTCAACAACAGACAGGTGACAGGTTTCTCATCCAGGTAAGAATAGCTCAGCTATTTGGGGGCGGAGCTTGAGGGTGGCAGGGTAGCTCTTTCAATAATTCAAAGAACTATCACAAATTACATACCCTGTGTATGGCACTCCATTCTTTATAAGCAAAAGCTATCAGTGTCCAAACAAGATCAGAGTTGAAGAGAAGTTTCTAAATGGTTAGGACAAGATTTAGATGAAAATAAAATCCATGTAGTTATGGGGATCATCAGCATCTCCTGTAGGTAATAGTAGCAGGGTTGATAATAGAAATAAAAAGAATGGAAATGTAAAAGCAGCTGTAGCTATGGTTTTCAGACAAGGAGGGTTTCCTTTTTCTACAGGATCCAGTTTGAGGAAAAAATAAGAAGTGGGTCTGTAAAAAGACTGATGGTGCTGAATGAGAAAAGATCGCGCAAATCTACATTCTCATGTACAAAGGTAATTAAAGATTAGTTATAGTCAGGAAATCTACACTGTAAAACCTAACAGCATATCTGAATAAAGGAAGTAGGCTAACATAGCTTAATACTCTGAGTTGTGGCGTCACTCATTCCCATGAACGAAACGTAAATCAAAATGAATTGTTGAAGTAATAACTCAGTTGTTTTAGTGAACTTAATTTTGCGTAAGTATTGGTGATATAATTCCAGTTTGTTTCAATGACTCAATATATATATATATATATATATATTTATATTTATATTACAAAATGTTATAATGCTTAGCATTATTATTTTTATCAGTTTATACATCATATGTTCCTAGTATGTATCCATTCTTAATGATGTCCAACGTGTAAAGATTTTGATGTTGGTTATATAGAAAACAAGTAGGCTATTAATAACAACCTAATAATAGCAGAAACAATTAGATGAGACATAGATAATTTTTGATAATTGATTAGTTGCAAATGGTTTCTATCAGTTGTTTGGACATATATAATCAGTTAATTTCCACTAATTTGCTTTAGTGGAAGAAAACTTAATAGATTCAATTCAAGTGGTATCATTTGTATAGGGAAGATGCATTTCAGTTATTCAGATTAATTATGTTAATACAGTTTAAATACGTTAGTTAAGGAAGATTTTTTCTTTGTCTATTTCTTAAAATCTTTAAGAAAGTAGAATCTTACTTTTAGTCTATTTCTTCTAGTTACTTCATAACTTTTTCCTTTGTTATAAATGTTCCTTCAACATTTATTTTTCTCTTCATGTTTCTTTTTGTTGTTTATACCACGTGTTGCAACAAATTTTATGCTAGATACCAACTATCATACATGTGCAGTTGTGTTCAAAATAATAGCAGTCCCACATGTCTAAAAAGATCAATTATTGTTTTTAGTAAAAATTATATTACTACATGGCAAATAATTTACCAGTAGGTGTAATAGAGTCATAGAAAACCAACAGACCCAACATTCATGATATGCATGCTCCTGAGTCTGTATAATTGAATAATTAATTGAAAGGGGCATGTTTAAAATAATAGCAGTGTGGAGTTAAAATTAGTGAGGTCATTCATTCTGTGAAAAAACAGGTGTCAATCAGGTGGCCCTTATTTAAGAATGAAGCCAGCACATGGTGTACATGCATTTCTCTCTGAAAACCTGAGAAAAATGGGTCGTTCCAGACATTGTTCAGAAGAACAGCGTGCTTTGATTAAAACGTTGATTGGAGAGGGGAAAACGTATAAAGAAGTGCAGAAAATGATAGGCTGCTTGGCTAACATGATCTCCAATGCTTGCAAAGCTTGGAAAGCAAAACCAGAGAGACGTGGAAGAAAACGGAAGACTACCATTCGAATGGATCAAAGAATAGCCAGAATGGCAAATAATCAGCCAATGATCAGCTACAGGGTGATCAAAGACGGTCTGAAGTTACCTGTGAGTACTGTGACAATTAGAAGATGTCTGTGTGAAGCTAATCTATCGGCAAGAAGCCCCCGGAAATCCCACTGTTCAAAAAAAAAGATGTGCTGAAGAGGATAGAATTTGCCAAAGAACACATCGACCGGCCTAAAGAGAAATGGAGAAACATTTTGTGGACTGATGAAAGTAAGATTGTTCTTTTTGGGTCCAAGGGTCGCAGACAGTTTGCCAGACGACCCCCAAACACTGAGTTCAAGCCACAGTACACTCACAGTGAAGCATGGTGGGTGGAACGCATCATGGATACTGCGGGAATTCTCTTCTTACTATCGTGGTTCGGGCCTATTTATTGCATACCAGGGATCATGGATCAGTTTACATATATCAGAATACTTGAAGAGGTCATGTTGCCTTATGCTGAAGAGGAAATGCCCTTGAAATGGGTGTTTCAACAAGACAACAACCCCAAACACACCAGTAAGCGAGCAGCATCTTGGTTCCAGACCAACAAAATTAAAGTTATGGAGTGGTCAGCCCAACCCCCGGACCTTAATCCGATAGAAAACGTGTGGGGTGACATCAAAAATGCTGTTTCTGAGGCAAAACCAAGAAATGCAGAGGAATTGTGGAATGTTGTCAAATCATCCTGGGCTGGAATACCTGTTCACAGGTGCCAGAAGCTGGTCAACTCCATGCAACACAGATGTGAAGCAGTTCTCAGAAACTTGTTATACAACTAAATATTAGTTTAGTTTAGTGATTCACAGGAATGCTAAATCCTAAAGATTTTTTCAGTTTATACAGTAAATATTTGAGTTGGTAATGAAAAATGCAGACACTTATTTTTAACAGCCCAATATTAATTTTTCTTAATTTTCTGTAATTAAAATATTGATATATTTTTCTTCATGTTTTGATGTAGAATATAATGTGCAGTGTTCCCAACGCATGAAAATAATAACAGTTATAAGGATTCTGAGCTTTACTCAAGTTTTTAAACACACTGCTATTATTTTGAACACAACTGTATAGGGTTGGTTAACTCATTCTCTGACCCTCTACTGAAATAACTTCCCATTTTCTTTTCTATGAGATCCCTCCAAAAACATTCATTTACACTTACTTTTACCCACAATTCAGTTCCCACTTCTTTCTATCAACATTCTACTCAGAAGATACGAGTCATTTCTTTTGTGTAAGGAGAGTAAAGTAAAGGAAGTGTGTTGCCACCCGGGTCACGGCACCATATTGTCGAAGAACAATAGTCGGCTAGTCACATGTCCTTTGGTTAGCAAGTCAGTAAAATGTGAATTTTCTTCATCACTATTAATGCTGCAAAATATACTGTATGAGTCGTCTTTGGAAATAGACCAGATTTCTCAAAACATTGAAAAAGGCTTATAAGCTCATGTCAAAGCATGTCTCTGTATCTAATAAAAAAGATCTTTCTGAGAGCAAAAGGCCTTAAGGCTCCTCCTGTCAGCTGACTAAGAAGAATACCCTTCTTGTTCTTTTGCTAGCTCGTTCCTGTGTGCTGTGCCCTGCAGGCATGAGACAATTATCCCACTGACTAATAAATTGCTGATTTCATTTAGTTTCTGCCTGAAAAAACCTTATCTTACAGCAGACTGTGACAGATATGCAAAAGGTATATGAAATTAGCTCCATCAAATGACATTGCCAAAAATGTTTGTATATGTGCAGACGTGTGTGTGACTGAATGACATTTTACTTTCTTTAATCAGCTTTTCCTTATCATTACCAAATGTGATTTCACACGTGAGCTGTCAGATGAAGCCTTTAATTAACTTTCAGATGCTAATGATGTCGTACGGATCTCTTACAGTACATTAAATACTATGGTATTTCTTCATGACTACCTGTTTGTATATCACTTTAATAAGCTTTTCCACCCAGCTGAGATTTCAAGATTCAAGATTCAAGATTCAATACTTTATTGCCATACAACTCGGTGCAAGTTGCTAGGGATTTGCTTCAGTGGTGCTCAGAACATCAAAACAAAGACAAGAAAAAAAGAACACAGAAATATAATACCATATACAACACAAGGGCCACAGAACATATAAGTACATATACGATATCCCACACAGGATCATACTTGACGCAAGCAGATAAAAAAAAAAAAAAACATACTGTTCACAGCATGCCTGGATGACAGTCCAGAAGGCTAGAGTGACAGATGTCAAGTTAAAGTGACATGGTGCATAGGGATGCAAAGCGCAACCACAACTTTACAATAAATAAATCAATAAAACTAATATGGGTAGCATAACCCATATAGAGAAGTATTATAAAAACAATATAAAAGATATACAATTTATACATGCTCGTTGGGAGAACCTTTTTTCCTGAGGTACTGGTTCAAGGATTTAACAAGTGACAGGAAACCATTGTATTGTGGTAGTTTGTGACATACAAAATATTGATTTTAAATTTTAAACTATCAGCATTAGCTGCTTTTGGTGAATATGTTTGGGGCAGAGAGTTAAAAGAACCGGCTTTGGTCAACCTGCAACCACATTCACTGATACCAGCTATTAAGATGAAGAGAAGAGAACCAACCTGGTGCAATGAAGAAGGAGGCCGGTCTTCCTCATTGACACAAACTTCAGATAGCAGACGGTCTTCATTGAAATAGATGTACAGTTCTTATGCCAGTCTGAAAACAATATGAAATAAAATAACATTAGGTTTATATTTTTGAAAATGTGATTCTGACATGGTAAATGGATTTAAATGAAATATATTTGTTGGGTTAATATGCTCCCTTTCGTAAAGAAATAAACACCAATCTGAATCATTTTTATGTGGTCTTTTTGCTTTCAAAATCACCAACAAAGGGCTCAAGACTCATTCCTAAAGTGGGATCAATAAAGTCTATCTTATCTTACCTCGTGTCGATTTCAAACAGCTAGCTAGCTGACGGCATTGTTGATATTTCAGACAGCTAGCTAGCAGGTGGCTTGTTAGTTGACAAGCATAAATGACGGACAGCTGGCAGGTCAGAATATCCTAGTTAAACTTGTATTAAAATAAACTAAACTGAATAAAACTAAATAAAAAAAGAAAAGAAAAGGCAAAGTCAAAATGTGTTCCCTTAACTCAGGAGAGGCAGTAGCAGCATACCATCAAGTTCAGAGATCAGTCAATCAACAGGGGACACCCGCTCTCTCTGTTTTATATCGTTTTGCATTTGATTATGTGAAACTGGAGAATATATAGGACAGCACTTTGTTTGTGTGTGTGTGTGTGTGTGTCTTTGTTATAGAATAAAGAGAGGGAAAAAATCCCTACAATCTAAATGTTCATACTTTAAGAGGGTCAACTCCTGCCTCAAGTCATATCATGTGGCTCTGATATCAGAAAGAATTTCCCAACTCCTCTCAAAACAGCCGCCTTAGGACCTTTTCCTCAGTCCTCCCCTTGAATATCTGCCGCTAGCTTTGACCTGGTGACTGGTACTAACTAGCAAAACGTTGGGCGTTATAATGATGAAGCCTATGTGACAAGTCATGCAAAGCTGTTGGCCCGAGGCAAATCCTGCCACAGTACTGAATAAAAGAAAAGTTTTAAATACTAAACAAACATCACGCTGACCCGAAGCTGACCTTCAGCGTCGTGCTATGTGTTGTTTCCACTCCATTCACCTCCTATAGGGAGTCTAGCCTGACTACTGCCACTTCTACATACATGTCAACGCCTTAGGCAGCTATTTCCTCCTCTCACACTTTACCATCAAGTAGAGAATATTATGTTGAATATTTTTGTGGTTTGGACTGTTTATTGGACAAAACAAGCAATTTTAAGACATATCCTTCGGCTTATGATGGACATTTTTAACAATTTTCTGATATTTTCTAAAATAAGTCCAAATAATAATAAATAGAATAGTTGATGATAAAAAAATATTTACACCCCTATAACCAACAATATATTCTGATAATCAATTGATAATTTAAAAGATGATACCCTTTTATTTAATCGGTTATTATTACGTTGTACCCACCAAATCAATGGCTGAGATCTGGGAACACGACATTGGTGAAACAAAATCTGCATAAGTAAGAAACTTGATCATTCAGGTGATCAGACAGATATACTTGGAGGTAAAACCCAAACAAAAATGTAATGTAATGTCATGATGACCTATGGAACTGATGGTCAAACCTATAAAAATAAGATGCAAGTTGTAATAAACCGGAATCAGTCATTTAAGTAATTTATTTATACATTCACTTGTTCCAGTTTCTCAAATGTGA